GTACTACTTCCCCCGTTAGGAAGAATATTTTTAAAAATCCTGCATGTGAAATAAGTATTAAATTTATGAAGGTTGCAATCGAACTTAAGTATTTTTGTCATTATACCCTACAACACTATGTGTTGGGGGTATTATAAGTTTGATTGGGCCAGAATTTATGTAACACCTCGAAATATTGGTTTTCCATATAGGAAAGTATATATGGATCTTCCTAGCTCGCCGAGCTGAGTCGATCTAGCTATGTATGTCCGTCCGTCCGTCTGTCCGTCTGTCCATGTTAATTTGTAATCACTCTACAGGTCGCAATTATGGCCCGATCTTCACGAAATTTAGAATGTAGGTGGGGTTAAGGTCAGAATAGAACCCTATTTCTTTTGGAGATGATCGCTTAATATTTAGGGGTTGAAATGGACCAAAAACTGAAAAAATTCCTGATTTTGCAGTTGCTCTACAGGTCGTAATTATAGACCAATCGACCAATCGAATTTCGCATGTAGCTAGAGTTTAGGGCGGGACGGAAGCCTACCAATTTGGGTGGTCATCGGATAATATTTAGCGGGTACAATAGACCATATCTTTTGTGTTGAAAAAATTCAACATTTTTCATTAAACCGCGAATATTTTAAATCCCGGCGAAATCACAAAGCCATCACAAGGTTACTTCTGACCTTTACATTGATGTTAACATCCAACAAATCGGATATATAGCAAAATATGTGCGATATATATGCCTATCAAAGAAGATATGCTTGAAAGATCTCTTATATGTCGAGAACGGCTGAACTGATTTCGACAGTTCTCATTAATTCAGAATGGCCTCTTGGCAGGAAAGAAAAAACGTCTAAAAATTGCATAAAAATATCTCTCTAAAGATGAAAATATTGATTTTGTAACATTTTCTCATATTTTTTCAATTTTGTCATATTTTTGGCATATTTTCATTTTGAATTAAACATTTGGTAATATTTCTACAGCTAACAAAACTAAGTAGTTAGGATATCAGAATATCATATACAGATCACATTTATGGCCTGATCCTAACGAAATTTTGCATGGGGATAAGATGAGGGTCAGAATAGAAGCCTACTCTTTTTGGAGAAAAGAGAAAACTGCAAAATTGTCAGCAAGTCGTAATTATCGCCCGATCCTCAGGCACATTTGAATGGAGGTTACCGGACATTGCAAAAGCCAAATAGTTTTGGATGGCCATCCAGAACGAAACCTGATGGTTTTCTTTTATTATTTGTCACAATATCTTGTGGAATTCTTTCGAGTATCTGGCCTATATAAACTGTATCATTTATTATAGTGTTGTAGGGTATTCAACGGTCGGCCCCGCTCGACTGTAGCCTTTGCTTACTTGTTTTAAGATATAGGTCATTTCCGATATTTTAATTTAATTTATCTAATCATTTTAAAGTCAGTTCAAATAACAGAATATCGATTTTTTTTTAAAAATTAAGAAATCATAAAAAAATTAAAAATGAAACATATAATTGTGGCAAAAGCTACTGCACTATGACTACATTTCAAATATTGTAAATTCCATATGAATTCCAAAAAAAAAAAAAAAAAAAAATATTTGTATATTGAGGAAAGCGACTGATAAATTTTATCTAGTTTAATGTGCATTAATTAATTCTTTATACGTTATACATTAGATTGACATTACTTATCGTTGGTAATTTGAACTAATTGCACGTTCTCAGTTTAATGGGTTCATTGGCTGCACAAAATATGAATTTCGTGTAACTAGAGTTGCAAAAAAGAAAACCGGTTACCAGTTGGCATGGGTCAACATCAACTTGTCGAACAGAGACAACAAAACACATGCATGTTTTTAATGACAACAAACAAATTTATTAATAACACTATGCGGTAATTTCAGGGTTATGGTCTGGCCGAACGGATATTTATAGGTGAAGAGTTTGGAGTTCTTTAAGCAAAATTTAAAGGTAACAATTTTTGTCCGATCCTCATGAAGTTTAGCATGGAGGTGGGGTTAGGGTCAGAATAGAAGCGTATTGCTTCTATTGAGATGTTGGCAAAATATTTAAAGGTTGAAATGGACCAAAAACATAAAAATTTCCTGATTTTGCTGTTGATCTACAAGTCGCTATTATAAACCAGTTGACTCGGAATTTAGCAAGGGTCTAGAGTTTAGGGCTCGGCAAAAACCTATTATTTGCCAAATATTTAGCGGGTAAACCATAACTTTTATGTAAAAATGTCCACTAAACCACGAATATTTTTAATCCTTGCGAAATCACAAACGCATTAAAATGTCATTTCAGAATGTTGCAGTGAGGCTGATAGCCAAGATATCGAATATATAGGAAAATAGGTACAATGTAAAGGTTAGGGTCAATTGGGTTAAGGCCTATTGTTTTTGAAAATTTTTGTCTAGGGGTTCAGATGAACCAAAAAACTAAAATTTCCTCTACAGGTCATAATTAAAAATCAATCGACATGGAATTTTGCATGACGTTAGGGTTTAGGACAGGACAGAAGTAAAGCATTTCGGACGACCATTGGATTATATATGGCGTGCAAAATGGACCAAAACTTTTGTGCTAAATTGTTTTGAATACCTATCACCACGATATAGCGCGCAGATGTAGGTTAAAACCCCAAACATTCGTGCAGGACTGTATGGCATCATTTTTAAAAAAATTGACTAAAATGAATCTGGACCTAACGACGATTTCCATTATTTCAGGTTAGCTGGTCCGTATGATAACTCTCGAAGGGAGTATCCGATTTGGTCTAAACTTGTAACATTGTAATATTATTATCAAATTTAGATCGAGTTCGGAAATGAGCAGTATCGGGCCAAGCCTTCTTGGTCCTCCCCCAGAAAAGGTAAACATTTCCAAAGAAAATAATTTACTGCACAGAAAGATTTTGCTTCAACTTTGATTATACTATACATCGGTGCTAGGCCAGGGGCGAAAATGGACAATATTTTTGCACTCCATCAAGTATCTCGGTCAAATTTTGAATAATTATTTATTAAATGTGATGTAAGAGTCCGATTGTCTTTAAATTGTACACATCACATTATTTCTTTAAGCCATGGTCTGGTGTGAAGATGGAATATATTGGTCCACTCTTTCTGGTACCTCCCCCACAAAGGGTCAACATTTTAAATATCCATGAAGCTCATAAAACGCGAAATTAATATGCGATTCGAATCAGACTTGTTACATCTCAATATTTTCATAAACACAAGATTTGTTATAAAAATGTTAGAGATCGGATCATTTCTTCAGGTACCTCCCCCTTATAGGGCTCAAGATTTTGAAAAACAAAACGCTCAAAGAAAGCGAAATAAGCATCCAAATCTCTTGAAATCTCACACATACAAATATTTTTGCTAACACATGATCTGTTGTGAAGATTATATATCTGCAACCCCTTCTGGTATCTCCCCACAAAAGGGATTTCAAAAAATTTTGGATATAAATGTTCGATTTTCTTGTAATTTTGCCAATACCAATATTTATATCTGTGTTAGATGAAGTTTCAATATGGAATACTTCAGTCGACTATATCCGGTACCTCACTCACATTTTAACATGTTCTAAAAAATATCACATATCTCGCATAGGAAGTAACTATTGTGGCTATACCTGTCAGGTCGCAATATTTACATATATCAATAACAATATTGGCGAACATTGGTTGAGGGCATACATCTGTCGGCTAAACCGACTGATACTTTTTAACTTGTTTTTGTACCCTATACATAAAGGGTATATTAAGTTCGTTATTCCGTCTGTAACTCGTCAAAATAATAATTTTAGACATAACAAAGTATATATTTATTCTTGATCAGCGTAAAATTCTAAGACGACTTAGCCTTGTCCGTCCGTCTATCCGTGTGTTGTAATCACGCTAGAGTCAAAACGAATAAAGATAGGAAGCTAACATTTTGCACAGATCAGTCTTTCATCCGTAGGCAGGTCAAGTTCGAAGACATGCTCGTACAGACCCCAATACAACGGCTATATTCGGTATTTTTAAGATTTTAACAGAATTTTTAACGGATTTTATTTTTTTTTAATTTCCAAATTCTTTCCAAATGATGGAGGGTATTCAAAGTTCGGCCCGGCCGAACTTATAGCTTTTTTACTTGTTATAGTTAATTGAGAATACTCGCCACTTACAGAGTTTGCTTTTGACCATTCCCATCACTGGGATGATATCATGATATTGCTACCGCTCTGTAGAGAGTAATACCAAGTTAAGCCAATGGGGGAATACTCCAGACATAATCAACTGATTGAATCTTCAACAAAACAAATATGAAATGTAAAACCTTTACTTCTATTCAGCACTTTTGCCCATACCACCAAGGGTAATAAAGTGACCGACATACACACACACACACACAAACAAACAAAAAAAAAAACAAATTCTTAATTACTTTAACCCAAAGATATCAGTATGAAATGTTTAAACTGTCGGCGCTGGTATTATTTAATGACTTTACACCTTCTACCACAAGTCTAGCCAGATTACCACGCAGAATTTTTAATTTAGCATCTCTCTTTGTGACATCTTCATCTTAAATCCCACAAAAATTACGACATATCAAGATGTCTTATCTATGAAATTTATGAACCTTGGCAATATATTCTCGTGCCAACCTTGTGACTATATCTGCAACCTTTTCGCAATAAAAATAATCCACTTTAAGCCAAGTTATTTTTAAATTTATCATTTTTGTTTTTTTATTTAATATTTATCTTATTCTATAACGAATACATATTTAATGTATACTCAACTTAGCTTGGTAATATATATATATATATATATATATTGTCTAGCATTACGTAGATAATTTTACTTTGTATATATTTTCCACATGTTTCCATGGTTATTTACATTTTCCTTCTGTTTTTTCTTTTTTTTTCATTATTTAATGGAATAATACAATAATATAGATTAATAAAGGAGATATAAAAATTATGAGATTTTTTTCTTACAATTATAAGATTGATTTCTTTTTACAATAATACTTAAGAAATACATCCGTATTAAAATTCAAAACGTGCATTCGTTTATTATAAGATGGGCTAGCAACATCGTTCAAGAGCATTGAACCTCATTCATTTTCGCTGGAGTTTTTTCACATTCTTCCTCGACCTCACGCCGGAACACAAGTTTGTAGACATTGGCAGCAACAAATGCTGCAGCCAGAGGTCCAACCCAGTATACCCAGTGATTACGAAAATCGTTGTGCCATAATGCGGGAGCCAATGAACGGGCAGGATTCATGCTGGCGCCGGTGATGGGGCCCTAAAGGATATAAAGAAAAAATTCCATAGTTAAAAGAATTTGAAATCAAAGTAAATTTTTTTATGGTCTACTTAGAAATTTCCTTTTCTTCGGATATAAACATACATCAGTCTGTTTCAGAACTGCAAGAATGTAAAACTTTTTGCTACGATAATCGATCTTTCCTTTGTGATATCAAAAGCCAGTAAGAAAAAGTCAAAAGTCGGGTGAGGCCGACTATATGATACCCTATGCGATTTTTGTAGAACTCCCGTAACAAAGGAATTTATTTGAAGAGAGAACTAATATATGGGAGGCATATCCAATTCTAAATCGATTTTCACTAAATTTCGTAGATATTTCTATCTTTTATACCAAATAACATTGCTATAGAGTGCATTATACCACTTCGAGAAGGAGAAGGATTAAGTTCCACCAAATGAATACGTAAGTCCCGAAATAGACTCCATTTGGGCTGATATTAGCCATTATTTACACAATACACCTGAAATCGGATTAAGGACATAAATGAGAGCTGTATATCCAAATCTTAGGCGATCTCAATAAAATTTGGCAAATCTATTTCCGAGATGTATAAGATATATGGTGCCAAATATCATTGATGTCGAATGAAACAAATATATGGGAGCTATAGCTATATCTGAACCGATTTTCGCCAAACTTGATGCATTTACTTCTAGACAAAATTTAGGTCATTTGGACTGATATTGGCCGTTTGATGCACAATTAACCCGAAATCAGTTGAGGATATATATGGGAGCTATATTAAAATTTGAACCGATCTTGATACAATTTGCCAAAAGTATTCCTGGGTTATATTTGATATTTGGTACCAAATGTCATTATTGTGGGATGCCACCAAATCGGATGAAACATATAAATGAGAGCTATAGCTATATATGAAACAATTTTCACCATATTTGATGTACTTAATTCGGTCGGATGTGCCAAAATTCACTTCATTTGGACTGATATTAACCATCTGGTGCACAATAATCGTGAAGTCGGTCGAAGATATGTATGGGAGTTATATCGAAAATTTGGCAAAGCTCTATAAGGTATCTGGTACCAAATATCGTTCTTATGGAGTGCATGGTGCATGAGGGACTTAAAACCCCAAAACGGTTAAAAAATATATATGGGGATTAAAGTTATATCTGAACCGATTTTCACAAAATTTGATGAACTTGTTTCTAGACTGAATTCGGTCGGATGTGCCAAAATGCAGGTCATTTGAAATGATATTGGCCATTTGGTCCACAATTAACCCTAAATCTGTTTAAGATATATATGAGAGCTATATCTAAATTTTAACCGATTCTCACCAATTTGGGTTCGTTTTTGGGCCAAAAGAAAATTGTTTGGAAAATTTCATCTAAATCGGATAATAAATGCGACCTGCATTTTATTCACAAAAATGCGGGAACAGTCTCACGGACGGACGAATGGACAGACGGTCGGACATGCATAAATCGACTCAGAATGTGATTCTATACAGATCATCAAAAGGAACTATGGGTTTAAATCGCTTCCTTCTATATGTTACAAACAAATGCACAAAATACCCTTACCACTATATGGTGTAGGGTATAAAAATTGCAAAACTAATCTAATATTTGTTCGTTTGAATATGAGACTGCGATTATTTTTTTTTACTTATGGGAATTTTAGATTTTAAAACATTTCAACAATCAATTTAACTCCTCATTGCCATGATATTAGAAAATGCAAGCATAGTAATAGGTGTCACCGCAAAAACCAAATTAAATAAATTCACGATCCTAAAAGTATGCTATAAATTTCTCCCGTGTTACATTTTAATACACGATAATGAATGACTATCAAGATATCAATTGATAGTTTCAATAACATTGCTCTTGACATTAATGTCTCAACGGCTCGAGACAACTGATAACAACTGACTACTTACCGCTGTTATCGACAGACATGCCACTGCCAAACCGAAACGTATGGCCACTGAATCTTGATGACTCTTGTTTCGCGGATCCCAGACACCACAGCAAACAAATATCAGCGTCGTAGTTATACAAAACTCAATACCCAATGCCTGCCAATTGTCGATATCCTTGTGAACGGATGTCATACACAGGCCTGTGTCATTGCCCGGTACAAATACCAGATTTTCGGGTAAAAATAATTTCAAAAGGCCATAGCCACAGTAAGCTCCCACAATTTGTGCTATTACATAGGCACAAGCCATTGGCAGCGATATTAGATCGTAAATATAGGCAGCCAAGCTGACGGCAGGATTCAGATGTGCTCCCGAACAGCAACCAAAACATTGAATGATAATGAGAACGACCAGACCAAAGTTGAGGGATCTCGTCAGATTGTTGCTGGGAAAAATGTCCGATTCAATGCAACCCATACAGCCGAGAAACATCAGCATTGCTGTACCGAGCACCTCGCACACAAACCAACACAAATTGTCCACATGGCGTTTGCGTTCTTTGGGACTGAAAGGAAATTAGGAGGAGACGGTAATTATTAAAAAGTGAAAAGTTTATAAGTATAAAGATATTTTCAGATTGTTATTTAAATACAATAGGTGCCAATATTCAAATATATTAAACTATACCAAAGTAGCTTTTAATTGTTTTTATACCCTCAGCCATAATGCTGCAGAGGGTATATGTCATTTGATACGGCCAAAACGTGCCTTAACAAAATAACGTTTCAGGATATTTGGAGTCGATTTAAAGATGTTCATCCATCTGTATCCGATTTGGCACAAACTTGGTACAACTAAATATTATCTTTAAACTTAGATCTACCTTGGATATGGATAGCACGCCTTTTCGAACCTCCCCAAAAAAAAAAAAATAGAATTTTCAAAGAAAATTATTTACATCATAGAAAGAAAAATCTAATGATCCGATTTTGTGCAAACTTTTTCTCAGGGCTAGGTCAGGCGCGAAAACAGACAATATCGGCATACTCCATCAAGTACCTCCCCCAAAGAGGCAATAATTTCGAATAATTATAGCTCTTATAAAATGTGAAATAAAAGTCCGATTGTCTTTAAATTTTATACATGCCATTATTTTTACTAACTAAAGATCTGGTCTGAAGACAGAATATATCGGGCAATGCCTTCCGGTACCTCCACAAAAAAGGGGTTAAAATTTTGTGTAACCATAAAGCTCATAAAACGCGAAATTAACATCCGATTATTTTTAAATTTTGGCACATCCCAAAATGTCTATCAACAAAACCAGATGTAAAGATACTTCCCCGAAACGAGTCAAAATTTTGAATAATTATATCTCTCATAAAATGGGAAATAAACATCAGATTCTTTTCAAATTTCACATATCCCAATATTTTTACTAGCACAAGTTCTGGTATCAAAATGATAGATATAGGCATACCCTTTCTGGTATCTTTCCCACAAATGTTCACGATTTGTAATAACTCATCGTACCTCTCGCAAAGAGATTAAAATTATGATTTTTCCCAAAAAATTGGTTATATGCCTGAAATTTTTAAATTTTGCACATCCACCATTTTCACCAATTTGTAATATGATCCATTTTGTTCACATAAATACATGGACAGACGGACTGACATGCATCAATCGACTCAGAATGTGATTCTATTCGATGTAGCATTTTATCGCTTTGAAATTTTGCTTAGATATTTATATTAACCCCTGTCCACATATCGGTCCACGTTTCGGTAAGGTCCCCATATAGCGATACTTCCTCATTTTCGGTATTTGGAATGTGTTGATCACAATTTTAAACCAAATCATGTGTAGCTTGGCATTGGCCACAATTTCAAACCCAATCATGAGTAACTTGACATTTTGAGATCTATGCTGACAAAATCTCTCCCTTTTAAATTTTGTGAAGGTAAATCCACTATTATTTATTGGCCAACATTTCCAAATTGTAGGTATTTTGAGAATCTCTCTGCAAAATTTTTTGAAGGTAAGTCCATTTTTATATTGACCCTATACTTCCTAATTTTAGGTATTTTGAGGGTTTCAGACAGCGTTTTTTTCAAAGTTTTGTTTCTCAGTTGTTATTTGTTGTTCTTATATTCGTATAAAAACCACAAAAATTACTAATATAAAACCATCCATAACGTAGGTCTCGGTAGGGCCCAATGGAGTTAGATCCTCAAAATAAGAGAAAAATTCAAAGAAAGCATTTCGATTCTCCCCTTCATTTATACCCTACAACACTATGTGTTGGGAGTATTATAAGTTTGATTGAGCCAAACATTATGTAACACCTCGAAATATTGGTGCCCCACATAGAAACCTATGTATAGAACATCCTATCTCGCCGAGCTAAGTCGATCTATCATCACGTTAATCACGTTACAGGTCTCAAATCCACACGAAATTAAAAATGGAGGTGGGGTTAGGGTCAGAATAGAACCGTATTGTTCTTTGAGATGATTGCAAAATATTTAGGGGTTCAAATGTACCAAAAACAGAAGCTTTTCTTGATATTGCAGTTGCTCTATAGGCCACAATTATGAAACGGTCGACGCGAAAATTTATATGGAGTTAGAGTTTGGGACTACCAATTTGTCCGGCCCTCGGACAATATTTAGCGGGTAAAATATTTAGCTGCAAAATGGACCACCATAACTAACAGCACGACGGAATGCGTAAATATTGGGTAAATGTCCCTGGTCAAAAAGCTAAGGGTAATATCTGGGCAGTGCTCTATGGCATAATTCCAAAAGCGAAATCTTCCAAAATGGATTTGGACGTAAGGGGCTTCTACCATATTGTCGTGTTGTAGGGTATCACATGGTCGGCCCGCACAACTATAGCCTTTGCTTACTTGTTTTTCTTTAATTTTCATATCAGCAACAAATAACAAAATTGGGTTAAGTCAATAATTTATTATTTGAAAACACTTCTTAAATCTGATGACAAAAAGACTACATATTTTTATGAGAAAGAAATAATAAAAAAATATATATAAAATTGACTGGTAATTAAGAATTCCTTTCTGAAAGAGACCAAAAAAGACCTTAACAATATTTAACAATACCCTCCACCATTTGGTACAAAATTCGGCAATTTTCAAAAAAAATAAATAAATAAAAATAAATAAATAAATAAATAAATAAAATCCATTAAAAATTTAGTTAAAATTTTAAAAATACCGAATGTAGCCGTATATTAGGGTCTATACGACGACGTGGACCTGCATAGGCAACTTTTGTCACAAGCTATTATAATATTCAAATGTGAAACTTGAAGTAAATCTGTTTATAATGTAGCTAAAATCATCAAAATACCGAATATAGGGAGGTACCATCGGGGTTATAAAACGTGGACCTGCACAAACAATTTTCTGGCATAGGCTGTAGTATCCATTACGAACTTCAAATACAAAATTTTTAATAATTCCGGTAAATAATGTCGCTAAAATCATCAAAATACCGAATATCGGGAATTCCCTTATATGGGGGCTATACGAGACGTGGACCTGCACAGACAATTTTCTGTCTTAAGCTGTAGTATTTATTACGAAATTCAAATACCAAATTTGAAATTGTTCCGGTAAATAATGTCGCTAAAATCATCAAAATACCCAATATCGGGAGGTACCGTTATATGGGGGATATACGAAGACGTGGACCTACATGGCCCATTTTCTGTCTAAGGCTGTAGTATCTATTACGAATTTTAAATACCAATTTTTAAACAATTCTGGTAAATAATTTCGTTTAAATCATCAAAATACAGCATATCGGGAGGTTCTGTTATTGGGGGCTATACGAAGACGTGGACCTACATGGCCCATTTTCAACACCAAAAGTCCTGCAGACATAATACACATTTGAGTAAAATGTTATCAACCTACTTCATTTCGTTCGGAAGCTAGAGTGATTTCCACAGACGGACAGACGGACGGACATTGCTAAATTTTTTTATTCTGATCATGAATAAATATACTTTGTGGGGTCTAAAATGTATATTTCGTGGTGTTACAAACGGAATGACAAACTTAATATACCCTCCATACTATGGTGGAGGGTATAAAAAAAATCCCTCCCTTAAATCTCCCTCTCATTGTCTTAAATAGGATCATCAGTCAAAGTTGAAAGTGAGGCAACTAACCTCACCACTAATTTTTAAAGAGACGTTCAATTAATCCCCGTTTTTTATGATTTCACCCCACTGTATTTTATTTTTGACCTCTGACTATTTTTATACCATCAGTCATATGGCTACAGCGGGTATATATCATTTGATACGGTCACAACGTGCCTAGACGAAATAACGGTTTTAGACCCTAGGTCTCTTTGGACCAAATCCGTTTCAGAACATTTGGAGTCGATCTAGCGATGTCTGGAGTATCCGATTTCATCCAAACTTGGTATATCGTAATATTTTTGCAAAACTTAGATCGAGTTCGGGGATGGGCAATATCGGTCCACTACTTCTGGTACCTCCCCCACTACGGTCCACTACTTTTGGTACCTCGAAATTTTCAAAAAAAAAAAAAGAGAAATAATAAGCCAATTTTGCACCAACTTTGCGAATCCTAATATTTGCATCAGTGCTAGATTAGGTGCGAACATGGACAATATCGGTCCACTCCACCAAGTACCTCCATCACAAAGGGTCAAAATTTGGAATAATTACAACTTTTATAAAATCAAATTTCAGACATCCCATTTTTTATAAGTTGGAATATATCGGTCCACTCCTTCTGGTACTTCCCCCACAAATGGTCAAAATTTTCAAAAAAAAAAAAAAAATAAAATAAAAAAAATTTTTTTTTGCTCAGAAAGAGAAACGATAAACCAACTTTGCGAATCCTTATATTTGTATTAGTACTAGATTTGGTGTGAAAATGGACAATATCGATCCACTCCATCAAGTGCCTCCCCCACAAAGGGTCGAAATTTGGAATAATTACAACCCTTATAAAATTTGATGTCAGAGTCCTATTGTCTTCAAATTTCAAGGTCTGGTGTTAAGATGGAATATATCGGTCCACTCCTTCTGGCACCTCCCCAAAAAAGGTCGAAATTTTGAATACATCTGAATATTTCAATCTATATTTCCTTCTGGTACTTCCCCCAAAAAGGGTCAAGATTTTGAATAAACAAAACGTTTACAAAATCCGAAAAAACATCAGGTTCTCTTTATAATTCACATATCCCATTATTTCCACTAACAAAAGATCCTTTGTGAAGATTTTGAATATACATGTAGCTCATGAATTGGCATCCGATTCCATTCAAGACTCGGTACATCCCAATATTTCCATCAACACAACACAGTCCAACCTAGCACGTCGCAGTATTTATATCATATTTATTTAGGTCCGATACGAAATGGCTAATATTGGCCCATTCCTTCTGAACCTACTGCATTAGGGGTTAAACACTTGAATAATCATAACAGAAGTCAAAATAATCGAACATTGGCTGAGGGTACACATCTGTCGGCAAAACCGACCGATACTTTTTTACATGTTTATTTGACCACTGGTATTCTATTTTTAAGGAGGTCCACAAATAGGTTTTTCCCCCATTTGTATTTTTTTTCTCCGAGTACTTAATACTATTTTCACTTTTTCAATCCATGTATTATAATTTTATTTTGTTATTTTTTTCACATAATTTCACATTTTTCTTCATTGCATGTTTCAGGATTGCATGTATATCTATTGATTTCAATATCCGCTTAATTTCATTTTCAACAATTTGGTGCTCATATATTCTCACCTTTTAGCACAAATTGCGAACTTCATGTTTGGCGATGTGTTTTTTTTTATCTTATTTTTAATTATCCTTTAATTTTGTTGTGCCAGAAATTAATTATTTTTTACACATGTTTTGTGCCGCACGAAATGCCCGTTTCGAATAATGTATTGTTGCGCCCGTCAGATGTGTTTTAATCCAACAGATGATAAAACGAACGAATATCTACGGATTCAAGTGCACGACGAATAATATTTAAGTTTTCCGTTTGTATCCGAACGATGTTTAACCAACAGCGGCCAAGAGTGTCTCTAGAATTGTTCAACGGCAATCGGCAAAAGAACGAAACAACGAACGAACAATTTTGATGTGATATTGAGTGTAGAGCTTTAGTGTTTATTAAGTTTTTGCAGGTATTTGTTGTTATTTAGTTTGTTTTCTTGCTTTGCATAATAAATTTATTGAAAACACTTAAAAAATTAAAAAAAAAATACATTTTATGGTTGTCTTTTTTTTTGGTTAATGCACAATTGTTTTCTGTTTAAAGCAATTATTTGTTTCTTATCAATCGTTTTACAACACCTTTGAACGGAGAGTATCGAGAGAGCGAGAGTACTAATTGTAACGGTTATTTAATTGAATTTCGTTTGCGTGAACATTTTCCGCACCACACGTAAAATCTTTGCAAGTTTAATTCCAACTAAAATGGTTTGTCACATTTTTGGCAGTTTTTACGACTTTGGTGTGTGACAAAAACGGAATACTTTTTATTTCATTTGTTTGGTGCTTTTTGTTGTTTTTGTGGTCGTTCGAAAGGGGGCATGTACGTACTTGAGCAAAGTCATAAACCTGACGTCGCTGCTGCGGCAGCCACTGCTGTTGTTATTGTTGTTATGTCATTACACTCCCAACGCAGCAGAACGATAGGGTGACAAGCATTGGCGCCAGATTAGGCTATCATTTGGAGTGAGCCAAAATATTTCGATTCCCACGTAATTGGTGGGGCCAAACAATCACAGTGCGCATAACATCGATCACTTTGTGGAAGCGTGTCACAAGTCAAACGAAATGCAGTTATGCAGAAAGTGCACTTAAAAGTACCAATTGAAATTTGGAGTCATGTACTTGACAGATGACAACCATAAAATAAACAAACATAAGCAAATGACATAGATCATCATTCGCATAGTGTTGTCAAGATATCAATAGCACATGACTAGGCAAAAATATGGGTCACATGAAGGGTATCAACGAAACTATGTTTACTGCCATTTGTACCCTGTTAGAACAAAGTGCACGTATGATCAATAACACTTAAGTGCTTCTAAATGACATAATCTAATATTATTCTTAAGTACATATTCAAAACATTTAAGGAGTACTATTTTGGTATCAATTGTACTTTCCACCAAACATTTGGGCGCCACTTTAGTTATTTTTCTCCACCATCTATATCTTCTGCATTACCAGTATGCCTTAGAATTATGAGTTTGTCTCTGCAAATATACATGGTTTTAAAATCTTTAATACTTTTGGTTACAGTTGTATCAACTATATACCAAAACCTGTAACTCCTATGAATACGAAATCGTAGCAGTTGAAAATACGACAGGGCCTTCAACTAAAGAAAAATAATAAGACGACTGTTCCAAACCATTGAACTTTCATAAAAATCGTTTGCGAAGATGATTTTATATATCACATTACATAAAATGGGGATGCTTTTGAAGAAGTCTGTCGTAAATTAAACCAGTAAGGAAAAGTCAAAAATCGGGCGGGGCCGACTATGTGATACCCTACACAGCTATGCATATTTTGTAGAGCTTCAATTTATGATATCAAAAACGAGTAAGGAAAAGTCAAAAGTCGGGCGAGCACGACAATGTGCTGTGACGGAAATGCATATTATGTAGAGCTCCCTTAACAAAAGAATTTATTTTGAAGTAGATCCTACCACCTATCAACCTTTGGCTTTAGTGCTGTTTTAATTTGATTTCCAAGGGAACTAATATATGGAAGGCATATCTAATTCTAAATCGATTTTCACTAAATTTGACGGAGATCTTTTCTTTCAAATAACAGATTAAAAAATATGTCGGATCAGAGTTCCACCAAATGGAAACGTACGTCCCGAAATTCACACCATTTGGGCTGATATCAGCCACTATTTGCATAAAATCGGAAATCGGATTAAGTATATTTATGGGAGCTATATTCAAATCTTAGCCGATCTTGATAAAATTTGATAAAGATATATCCGAGCTCTATAATATATCCAGCATCAAATATCATTGTCGAATGCGTATTACCAATATGAGGGACTTAAAGACCAAATCGGATGAAACATACATATGAGAGCTAAAGCTATATCTGAACAAATTTTCACCAAACCGATGCACTTGCTTCTAGGCTGAATTCGGTCGGATGTACCAAAATTCATGTTATTAGAAGGATATTGAACATTTGGTGCACAATAAACATCAAATCGGTTGAAGATATTTATGGGAGCTAGATCCAAATCTGAACCGATCTTGACAAAATTTGGCAGAGGTATTTTCGAGCTGTATCGATATCTGGTATATCTGGTACCAAATATCATTGTTGGGTGGTGAATATTACGTATGTGACGCATCCAAATCGGATGAAAAATATATTTAGGAGCTATATTTGAGCTGATTTTCTGATTTTTCAAATCTGAAGTACTTGTTTCTAGGCTGAATACGGTCGGAAGTGGACAATTCAGTTCATTTGGGCTGATATTAGCCATTTGGGGAAAATGAACCTTAAATTGGATAACGGTATGGTAGCCATATCTATATTTGAACCGATTCTCACCAATTTCAATATGGTTCGTCCTTTGACCAAACAAATATTGATAATAAATGCGACCTGCATTTTGTTCACAAAAATACAGGGATGGACATACGGACAGACTTACTGACATGCATAAATCGGAAAGTGATTCTATGAAGATAAAAAGTTACTGTGGGTCTATCTCACTTCTAGGGTATACGTAAAAAGTGTCTCACACCTAACCAAATAATCAGGCATTTTGTAGAAAGAGAAAATGAAAAGTTTTAATACCCTACTACACTTTATTTTCTCATTATAAACAACAAACGACTGCTTTGTGCATAATCTTAGTTTCTACCACAAGCCTTTTTAGCTCAAGCGAACTTACGACAGATTGAGAGACGAAGTACTATGGAATTTTGAATGTTATTGTATAGGGGTAAATATCAGTCGACTCAATTGCAAGTAACGCCTCTTTAATTGCCTTGTTTACATTACAGGTGGTATTTACGATGAGATGTGCGTACATGTGTTGCTGTTTTGGGGGAATCAATGTACCGCCTTCGACCAAATGTCTTTTCTTGGCAGCTGTTGTATTTTATTTGACATTTTTTGTTGATTCTATTTTCGTCTTCAATGAAATTCAATTGGTGCAAAAGTTGGCATACTTTTGTTCGTTTCAAGAATCTTAATTTTATGCAAAGCGAACGAAGATGGCACAGTGTTTCAAAAAAATTGTTTCCCCAATACGCTATTCGAATGCTAATCACATTGATAAGGGGGGAGAGCGTAAACAATTTTTTGGTAAACCCTTAGATTGCTACACTTAAATTTATAAAGGCGAGTATCAAGAAAATAGTTTCCTGTAGGTTTTTATACCCCCAAAATACTATAGGAGGAATACTAAATGTATCATTATTTTTGTAAATCCTCGGAATATTCATATGGACCCCAAAATCTATATTTATACAAAAGAGTAGTGACATAAATCACTGACTGACTGACCGAGAATCATCCGCCAGAGGCAACGACTGAACTTAGGCGTGTGATAAGGTTGGGTTTTTGGAAATTCTTACTAAGAGTACTAAAAATGTAGTACTTTGCATTGGACAAACGGATTGAGGTGAAACTCTGAAATCTGGAAAGGGAATCCCTGATGGAGTGCAGGATAGATGCTAAAAACTTGGTATGACAATCAAGGTTGGAAAGTATGTTTGATAAATGAAGGTAGTTTTGAAAATGTGTACTAAGTGGGAGAACTGTACTCTTTGCTTTAGGGTGGACAGATGAAGATAGAATTTTTAAGTTTGATATTTAGGTCACTGTTGGTGGTGAGTTTCTAATAAAGAGGTGGTTTTGGAAAATATGTACCACTGGTGACTTTGGTAACTTTGGTATTGGGTGAACAGATAGTGCTTGGAATCTAAAATTCGGACATATAGAGGTGATTTCAGAAATGTTTACAATAACTGAATGAAAAGTACTAAATGGTACTAATTTTGGTATTGGGTAAAGGAATAGAGATCAAATTCTGAAATTTGATATCTGTATCAGTATCTGTGTTTAAGATTTGTGTGGTGTTTTTGAAATGCGTTCTATAATTGTTCGAAAAGTACTAAGTGGTACTAAATTGGCCATTAGGTGAAGGGTAAAAAATAAACATTTTCCTAAAATTCTTTCCAAAAATAGAACAATTAAAAAAGCAGCTAAATCCGGGCCCTCCATCATTTAGAAGGAACTTGAAAATTTCAAATAAAATTCCGAAAACGTGAACCTACATACGAATTTTTTTGTCATAGGCTGTAGTACCCATTGCGGACTTTAAATATGAAATTTTAAACAGTTCCAGTGAATAATGTCGCTAAAATTATTAAAATACCGAATATCGGGAGGTATCGTCATATGGGGGATACACGAAGACGTGGACCTGCATACGACAATTTTTGTCATAGGCTGTAGTACAAACTACGAACTTTAAATATGAAATTTGATATAATTCTGGTAAATAATGTCGCTAAAATCATGAAAATACCGAATATCGGAAGGTACCATTAGATGAGGGCTACATGAAAACGGCCCATTTACGAACTTGACCTGCCTATTACTAAACTATGCATTTATGCAAAATTTTAGCTTTCTATCTCAATTCGTTCGAAAGATAGCGTGATTAAAACCTACAGACAGGCAGACGAACATCGCTAGATCGTCTTAGAATTTTACACTGATCCAGAATATTTATATTTTGTAGGGTCTATTATGAATATTACGAGGAGTTACAAAAGAAATGACAAAGCTAATATTCCCTCCATAGAATTGTGGAGGGTACAAATACTTCCTTGCAAAGAACTGCATATAGAGGTCATAGTTATGGATCGATGTTCGAAATTTTGTTGATTTAGAAGATTTTTGCCCGCATATAACTTATTCTCACAATATTTGGCATTTTTATGATTTTAGCCTAATATTTAAAAATTTTGAATTAAATTAATTAAACAAATTTTCATATTTTTGTATTTCTTATTACACATTTTCTCCCTATTCACAGCTTCTCGCGGAATTGTTTTAATTTTTAATAATCTGGAGTTCATAATGGGTACTACCTGGGTACTATGACAGTTGTGCATTTGTTTGTA